ACCCGAAACGATGATAAATTAGGGCAAGGGTTTTGTAAATATCAGCATGGTCCTGCTCCAAACTGTCTTACCTGCATAAATCACAGTCTCTGATTTTTAGACAGGAAAAAGCAAAAGTGGTTAACACCTGCCCTTGCTCCTTTCTTTGTCCACCTCCTAATTATTGCTTCCTAGCAGGTGCCAAATACACTAGGCCTTGAGCCTTTGTTCCCTACGGGCAGTGGGGCTCTGCTCCTCCTGCCTGGGGTGCGTCACATCACCTGGTGTGGGCACCTGCAAGTGGTCTCCCGGACACCTCATCCAGAGCCAACCCAAACCAGGTTTGTTTTCTCTATCCTGGACTCGCCCCCATCAGAGGCCCAAGACCATTGTCCAGAATCCAGAGTCAAACAAGGGTGTCTTTCAGTGACTAGCACCATTGGCTGCCAGTGATCTTGGGTGGGACATGGAATAACAGCCAAGAAACTCTGATCCCTACCACATCAGACTGCCTGTATTTCAGCTGACACTAGAGAGGAAAGCGTTATCTACCCCACCAGGTGGGTAAATGGACAGGGACACCAGCAGGAGCTTCAGTAGAATGTGAAAGGCAAGTCCCGAGAGCAGTGAGGGCTCTTACCCATCATGGCAACACTATGGGTGATCTAAGGGCACCGATTAGTGACGGCCCTCTCAGCTTCAAGTTCTCATGCGCAGAAGAGAGAGACTGCCCAGGAGAGCCAAGGGGACAGCAAGTGCATTGGGGCAGGAGGTTAGGCTGACAGCAGGCTTAACCACAATGGGTGATACCTAAGGCCAAACGAGACAACAGGCAAAGGCCAAAAGGGGCAGCTGGGTTCTAGTTCAACACTGGGTCTCAGGCCAGAATTCGAGAGACTCCTCGGAAGAGCTAAAACCTGCAGGTTGGACTTGGGCAAGGAAAAGGGGATGAGCCCCATTTGGGAATTTATACCGAAAGCCCCTCACACAATGAGGTATGACAGCTGGAAACCTGGCAGGCATCGGTGAGGTTGGCATGAGACAGGGAAGGGCCAGCCCCTTGCCATCCTTCAGAGAAATCTTGCTCTCTGTAGCCAGGATGAGGCTCCTCCAGAGTCACCTTGCTCATCTCTCAGTACATGCTCCAACATTTTTAAGTGATTAAAGATGAATGTAGGCTGGGTATATATCCAAAAGAATTAAAAGCAGAGACTCAAACAGACATATTTGCACACTCATGTTCATAGCAGCATTATTCACAATAGCCAAAAGGTGGAAGCAACCCAAGTGTCCATTGACAGATGAATGGATAAACAAAATGTGGTCTATCCATACAATGGAATATTATTCATCCTTAAAAAGGAAGCAAATCCTGACACATGCTACAACATGGATGAACCTTGAGGATATTATTCTAAGTGAAAGAAGCCAGACACAAAAGGACACTGTATGATTCCACTTATATGAGGTACCTAGAGTAATGAAACTCTTAAGTACAGAAAGTTGAATGGTGGTTACCAGGGGTTAGGAGGGTGGGGAAGAATGGGGAGTACTTGTTTAATGGGGACAGAGTTTCAGTTTTACAAGAAGAAAAGAGTTCTGTGGATGGATGGAGGTGATGGTAGCATTACAATGTGAATGTATTTAATGCCACTGAACTGCATACTTAATAATGGTTAAAATGGTAAATTTTATGTTGTATATTTTGCCATAATTTTAAAAAATGCATTCTAAAATTTGAGAATTTCAGTAAAAAAAAACCGTTAATGTAGGAAAGATGGTACAGTCATTACAAAGGTCACCAAGAACTGTTAATGACATGAAAAACCATGCTAACATTATTTTAGCTCAAAAAAGCAAGATATGGGATTATATGAGGTAGATTTTAGCTATGTAAAGATAAAAATGTCCATATCTGCATATGTATGTGGGCAGGAAAAAGAGCAGAAAGAAATGCACAAATGTCAACAGTGGCTATATTCTGGAGGGTGGGCTTCTTTGCATCCTCACCATTTTCCTTCCACATTTCCCAAATTTTACACAATGAGCATATACTACTCTGATAATACGGTTGAGAGACAGGGTAAATTAAGTATAAAACCAAACCACAAAAAAGCAAAGGAAAATAAATATTTATTCAATCTCCAGATTGGGAGGGGTCTCCATGTTTAACAGGAAAAAAATCACATAGGAAAAGAGCAATTTGTTTGATTAATTAAAAAAGTGAAACCCATAACCAAAATGTAAAGGCAAATTCACACAACCTGAAATACGAATGCCCAACAATCGTACAGAGAGCAATGATCAAGGTCACTAATAAGTGAAGAATTCAAAGCTAAAGCAGGATACCACTTTGACCTATTATTGTGGGGGTTGGGGTTTTTTGTTTTGTGGTTTTTATTACTTGTATCCTTGTTTGCTTTACTTTTAGTTTTACTACCCTAAGGTAGCAGGAGAGTGGGGAGAGGAGCAAAATGGAGATGCTTTTGACAATTTGGCACTGAGAGACTATCCTAAGGGGGTAATGTGAAACACACAAAAACATTTCATTCACAAAGTTGTTCATCACAGCATTATTTATAATAACTAAAATTAGGAAATAACCTAAATTTCCAATAATTGAAAGAAGGTTAAGTAAATTATGATAAAACTACACAATAAAATATATTACCACCAATATAAAGTATCTTTGCAAAAATCTGTAATAACCACATATTATACTCAGTGAAAAAATGAGAATATCAAATGATAAAGCACATAGCATGGTCATGATGTAAAAAATTCATACTCCCAAAAAGACAAGAGATTAAGTGACTCTCTTGGGGTAAAATACTGATGCATTTTCTTAGGTTTTACTACATGCGTTTTCCAATTTTTCTATAATTAACACATTAATTTTATAATCATAAAAAATACCTTTTTTAAGTAAGGTGACCACAAGATTCTTTAGAAAGGTTCATTTTATCCCATGATACAGTGTAGAGAGTCACAAACCCTCAGCCTCTTGGAAATGGGGGCATGGGAGTGCGAAGAATGGTCATGAATGGATGGTGAAGGGAGGAGGGAACAACCTAGGGGTGGGTGGGGAGGCAGGGATTGGCAAGGGAGAATCAGGGACCAGTACGCAAACTGGTCAGCCGAGGAAAGGGGCTTTGTGGAGTCAGGGAAGACTCTGACTGCTCAGCAGAGGTCTGTGTAGACCCAGAAGTAGGCACTAATGGTGTTCTCAAAGGGCAGGTTCAAAGAGGGATTTCAGGAAGACACATGGATTCTTTAGGGGCAAGGGAGGAAAGAGGAGGGGGAGGGAAACTACTTGGGAAGGAGGTGTGAAGGGCTGGGGAGATGGCGATGGGAGAGGAGAGGAAGAGGCTGGTTGCCACAGTGAACTCCCTACACTACACTTAAACCAAACATACTTCACTCACCTCCAGACAAATCTTTGCGGGCAAACATGGGGTAGAGAATCAGCTCACAGGAGGAACTTGCCAACAGCCAGATGGATCCAGCTCAAATTCAGAGTTAATCTAGGGCACCTCCGTTCAATCAACTTTCCGCCACTAGGGAAAGGTTCTAGATCTGTGCTGTCCAATACGGTAGCCACTAACCACATGCGGCTATTGAGCACTTGAAATATGGCAAGTGCAACTGAGATTCTGCTTTTGAAATGTTTACTTCATTTTAATTAACTTAAATTTAAATAGTCACATGTGCCTAGTGGCTATTGCGCAGCACACACCTAGGGGCAGTTCTCAAAGTGTTGCATTTGGAGAAGCAGTGTGATTTTTCAGAAATGTAAATTCTCAGACCTCACCCCAGATGCCCTGAATCAGAACCTCCACAGGCAAGACCCAGCAAACTGGGTTTTAACAAGCCCTTCAGGTGGTTCTGGTACACCCTCATGTTTGCGAGCCACTGATTTAGGGCCATTCCAAATTTCTGGGATCACTAGTTCTGGGTTCAACTAACCTGTATAAAAGAACCCCTGCTCAAATGAAATGGGGATTTCTATAAAGAAAGTGGTTGGAGAACCATTAACAAAACATGTGCAACTCAGTGGGATTGGAGAAAAGGTATATGAAGCAACAAAGATGTGGTTTCTCTAAGCTGAGTCAAGGTAAGGAATGTGGCCAGCTTTGATATCTGAAAACCAGAAAGTGGCAGCTCATGCAAATGTGTGTTGGAGATATGCAAAAGGAAATAAAAAGTGGCTCTATATTGAGTTCAGTGTCAAAAACACAAAAAGCAACCATAACCCGTAAGAAGAGCATGCCACTGAACATGAAATGCAGCCTTCACTTCTAAAAGGAGAGATTCGTAAATGGACGCCAAGAAAAACTAAACCCTAACGAGAGCTGAAGCATTGAGGCTACGGCCTCATGTAGAAAAGATGAGACAGAAACACTTCCAGCAGAGACAGATTGACATGCAAAAGCACCCCAGGTAGACCCAGACCTGGATGTGGCTTCGGTCATGCAGGTGAATTACTGCCAAAATGGCAGCTGCACATCCGACGTGCATGTTGCTTCACTCTCCCAGCACAATTCAGCTTATGACTTCAGCAAGAGCAGAATGTGGAGATTTTTGATACTAAAATTGTGCTTCAAGAAATAAAGCAAGAAAAAATGATGAAGTGTACATATTGTAGCCAACCAGGAACAACAAATGGGTGTGAAATAAAAGCCTATGTTAAAACTTATAACTATGGAGTAGGAGATAATGCTAAATACACTGAAAATATGTCATTAGGAATTTAGACTGCATTGTGAAATTCTTAGTGGAAGTGCTGAGAGTGATAAAGAGGATGAAGAAGGAGAAAGAAAAGGCTGAGGGAAACCATCTCCAAAAACTGAGGCTTCCAGAAGAGAGACAAGCTTCAGGATCAGCAAGATGAATAGAGCCCTTCACTCCTCAAGTAGAAATTGTCGTTGCCAAAACACTAAGTCACTTAATTGCTTAGAAGATGGTTGTGTTACCATATATAACTCTATTATAGGCTAATTAGTAAAAAAAAAAAATCAGTATTTGAAATTTTACTGATTTGAAGTAATCTTTTAATATAATACCTTGCCTTTTTGGTTACAATATTTTGCAGTAACTTAATCTAATTTGCTATATTTTGTTTCACATTTACCTTTAACTACTGAAGCAGCACTTGAAAGAATTACTAAAAGTTACTCACTGTGATATAGGACTACATTAGATGTTTATTTAGAAAGTGCTTGACTCTTCTGATGACTACTGATAATTGATCGGCTTCAACATGTTGTAAATATGAGTTGTGAATATTCTATCCTTTTTAAAATGACATAGGCTAAGCTTATTATGACCACTTTGCCTTTCTGGTTACTTTCATATTTAGGAAACATAGAACTATATTCTGGGGATTTGAAATTACCTAACATTATACTAATGAAAAGTTTTCACAATTCTCAAAATAATTTAGAATTTAATAAAATTAATGTGGTCTTTAATCAGCAATTAAGAGTAGAATATTTCCTGCCTCCTGGATAAATGGATGTCTGCAACCAACCATCCCTAAAGAAGGAAAAGACTAGTATGGTTCTGAGTGACTCAATTCATGGGTACAGTTAGGCCTTTAAATGTTTTCCATTATGCGTAACAGTGCCTTTTAATAGACGGCCTTTGGGTTCAAGGGTCAAATTATTTGCTAACAAATTATTATTTGGGCCAGAAAGTCTCTGAAAAATTTTAACTGAATTTCCCATACATCTCATGTCTCTGGCTTACTGAGCACTGTTTATTATTTGATGTAGAAATTCCATATTAATCACTTCGTGCATATTTTATCTTTGTATTTGAACATTCGTGATCTTAGAAAGAAAAATTGAAGATAGACTTTAAGGCCTTGGCATCTAACATTATTATTTAACTTTACATTTTAAAAAGAAACCTAGATTACATGTTGACATAATATTTTGAACATATTGGGCTAAATAAGATATATTATTAAGTTATAGACAAAAGAACCAGGAACTTAGTGTTGAACCTAACTTGATACATGCTTACTTTTTGAAATGCACTAAATTTCACAAATAAAGTATTTCTTGACTATAGTATTATGTTCGGTTATGACAATTTTAGTTTGCTAACTTTGTACTTATTCATTCAATGACTTATTCATTCTATGACTGTTTATAAAAAAAGGGAAAGAAAGGTTCAGCCAAGCCCCAGTCCAATCACCAATTAGAAATCAATAAAGATGAAATCAAAAGGTTTGGCTGCTACATACTCTCAGGCCAAATTGCTGATGCATGTTTTGATTGCCTACCCTTCATGTTGCTTCCCATATTATGGGTAATCACAAAATAACTAGCTCTAACTCCTCTGACCAGCTGAAACGGAGCACATCATATATGCCCTCTGTGGTTGGCAAAACTCATGGCATCAATGATCGGGAAAGGTCTCTACCTTGGGTGTCATTATACATGTTGTGATCCTGCAAAGGGTCAGAATCTACAAAATATAGTTCCCCTGCATGGATGTCAGAAAAGTTAGCCAGAAATTCACTGGGATTGAAGCCAACCCACACAGTATACCTATAATCTATCGTGCGTATGGAATAGCCCATGACCGTTATATCTTTTAAACTCGGCTTGTCAGAATTCCACTGAGGAGAGTCTGCAGGCCGGGGATACTGGCTATAGGCAATCAACTCACGGGGATTATCACGAAGGTATGGGTCCTCTTCCAAGTCACGGAATCGAAAATACTTCAGAAGGTTCTGGCCTTCTCGGCACAGCTCAACGTGAAATGAGGGAATAGGGCAGCGAGGTGGAACGTGCAGTCCTGCAAGTCCCGCGAGCGTGGGGAAGAGAGAAAGAAGCTCCACAAGGTCCAAGGTTTGCCGGCCTGAAGGAGGAAGTGACCCGGCAGAATGGGTTATGTTACGAAGCCCGAAGCCCGCCGCAGCCAGGCAAGACGAGTAAAGGGGCCCGTCTGGGCTCCACACATTGTTTTTTTTTCTTTTACAACATTTATTTTTTAGCACAATAATTTTAGGAACACCAACTCAGTATCTCACTCAAAAGCAGGATGCAAAATGAAGGTGCCCTCAGGCTCTTGGAACTTTTAAAAACTATCTGAATTTTGGAACCACTAGTGTATAATCGATTCAGGCAAGGATCATCAATGGAGGCCCAAACCACTGGGTAAAAGTCTCTTGAAGAACAGTATATTTCGAGTTTCATGGCATCACCCTGCAGATTACTCCTTTCTGGATGTCTGCATTTGATCCATCAAATTTACCATCCTAAGCATTTTTTAGTGTACAGTTCAGTGTCATTAAGTAGATTGTTGTGCAACCACCACCACTATTTCCAGAAATCTTTTCATCTTGCACAACTGAAACTCTGTTCCCATTAAACAACTCCCCATTTCCTCCTTCTTCCAGTTCCTGGAATCCACCATTCTACTTTCTGTCTCTATGAATTTGACTACTCTAAGGACGTCATATAAGTGGAATCACACAATATTTGTTCTTTTGTGACTGGCTTTTTTCACTTAGCATGTCTTCAAGGTTCATTCATGCTGTAGCATGTGCCAGAATTTCCTTCCTTTTTAAGGCTGAATAATATTCCATTGTATGTATCTACCACATTTTACTTATCCATTCATCTGACAATGGACACTTGGGTTGCTTCCACCTTTTGGCTATTGTGAATGATCCTGCTATGAACAGTCACGTACAAGTTTTTGTTTGAATACCTGTTTTCAATTCTGTGGGTTATATCCCTAGGAGTAGAACTGCTGATTCATATGGTAATTCTACGTTTAACTTTTGGAGGAATCACCAAAGCGGTCTCCATAGTGGCTGTACCATTTTACATTCCTACCAGCAATGCCTGAGGGTTTCAATTTCTCCACATCCTCACCAGCTCTGTTGTTCTCTGTTTGTTAATAGCCATCTTAATGAGTATGAAATGATATCTCATTGTGGTTGATCCATCTTTAAAGTCTAAATCTTGTACATATATTGATTCCTGTTAAAATTTATCTTTGCTCTGGACCATTGTTCTGGCCTTTCTGGATCTTTAAGAGTTTGCTTTATACTGCCCAATTTTATTTCCCACACATTTGATTTGTAAAAGTAACAGAAAAGAAAGTTTAAAAAAGATACCTTTATAAAGGCAGACCTGGCTGACACAACCACCTTAACCAGGTGATCAAACTTGGCATCACTAATAATGGCACAGGCCACCAGGAAGTGCCCTGATGTGATACAATGGGAGCATACAACCTCACATGTAGTGTACATGTCAAAAATGTTTACCCTGAACCTAGTCATGAGGAAGCAATCAGACAAATCCAGACTGTGGGCTGTTACACAAAACAGCTGGCTTGGACGCCTGTAAAAAGATGAAGTCAGGGAGATAACAGGGGCCCAGATCATGTGAGGCCTTGTTGGCCACGCTAAGGACATTTGCTCAGAGTGAGACGGGAGCATAGGAGGCTCCAGAGCAGGGCTGTGACACGACCTGACTTGGGTTTTAACAGGATCAGTTTGGCTACTGTGAGGAGGAAAACTCTAGGGGATCAAGGGCACAAGCAAGGAGACTTCAGCAAGCTCAGGCAGTAATCCAGCAAGAGATAGTGGCAGTGGTCAGCGGTGGTGGCAGTGAGGTGGTGAGAAGTGGTATGGACAGATTCTGAATGGAGAGTGACAGGCCTGCTGACAGACTGCATATCACATATGGAGTATGAGAGAAAGACAGGGGCCGAGATGACTACATGATTTTTTGGCCTGAGCAACTATAATCTAGGGGAAGAGCATCAAAGGAAAAGTTTAAGGTGAAAGGTCAGAAGTTCAGCGTTGGGCACGTTAGACTGGCCAAGTGGGACAGGCTGCTGGAAATCCAAGTCCAAAGTTCAGGGAAGAGATACAGGCTAGAGATAAACTTTGGAACTAAACTGGATGACAGTGCAGTTACATGAATTTATAACTTGCTGAACACCTCCCAACAGAAGTTTTAAAAAAGATTTTCAATCTGTCAGAAGATTTCTTCAAGTAAACAAAGGGCTATAATCATGTCTTGAAATTGTTTAACCTTTTTATCAATGATGTGAAGGAAGAACATGCAACATGCAAAAATCAAATGTGCAGAAAATAAAATTGGGTAGTGTAAAGCAAACTTGGAAAGATCCAAAAAGGCCAGAACGATGGTCCAAAGCCAAGAAAAATTTAAACAGGAATCGATATAAAGTGCAGGACTTAGATGTTAAAGATGGATTAAAAGCAGAAGTCCAGAAAGGGGACAACCTGCTTTAGCAGAGTTCATAGTTAAAAAGCACTCCAAAAAGAGTAAATGTCAGCTTAAGTACATGACTCATCTCTGCACTGAGCAGATCAAGTCAGGAGACAACTCACAAAGAACCCACACCGGTTACCCATGAGACAGGGAGGGGTGTCTTGTCCAAGGGACATTTCTGGCAGTGCTTTCTCAAACTGGAGCATTTTGGAAGAAGGAGAGCAGGATAACCAGGGGTCTAACACTACCTTGAGAGAGACAGCTAAAGGACTGAGGATCTCAGCCTAGTGAAGAGAAGGTTATCAGTGTTGTTTTCAAAGCTTGGAAGGACTGGCAGGTGAAAGTCAAAGTAAACCTGCCCTTCACTGTTGGGGAGGGCAGAGGCAGAATCACCTGGTAGATTTTACAGATCTAGTGGTTCACTAGATTGATGAGCTGCCAAAATGGCAGATGTCTCCCTCACAAAGGGCCGAGTCCCGGCCAGAAGTATGCAGGTAATGGAGTTCTGCTCATCTGTAGGGGGGCAGCCCTTCTGCCAACCCCTTCCTCTGAGCTCCGGAGCACACTGTTGTCACCTCTTCGATAGCCCTCCCCATCCCGGGGATGCCACCTGCTCCTTTGTCCCTCTTGCCCTTCCAAGGCTCCTCGTGGACAGGGGCCATACTTGTCGGCTCTGGCCCTGCCACTCCTCCCTGACCAGAGCATGGAAGGTGCTCAGGAAACATATGCAGGAATGCCAACCCTGGCCAGGAAGGTGGAGTGGGTCAGCACCCAGGCTATGATTTGATAAAGCGGTTTATATAAACTAAAGGGGCTATTACTGTCAAGCAATATCACTTCAGCATACGTATACCTGGCTCCATCAATTCCGAGATGGAATCAAAAGGGTCGATGTAAGGGAAAAGCTTCTCGCCTGCTTCCAGAAGCGGAACTGTTCTTCCGGGAACATAGAACATCAGGGGCACGCGAGTAGTAACGTCAAAATTGCTGTATTTGGCCCATTCTCCATGTTCACCTAGGGCCCACCCTGGTTCAAAAACAGCACAGAATGACAGAAAAATGAGTAATCACATCGCAGCTTGTTCATTTTTAGACACCATTTAATTTCCTGTTGTGAAAACCAGGGGAAGCAGAAACTCATCACCTAGAATAAATTCCTATAGAATTACCACAAAAAGGATGATTTCACCTGAATATTGCTTTATTTGTAGTTAGACATTTGTCTTGAATGAGGAAACCTTAAAAGGAAAAGAACATTAAATTCCCAAACTATGCTCTTTTAGCAAGTTACTAGCAACATGCACCCAGGGTGAGCTCCAAGGGACCAGTGGCCCCCACACAGACCTGCCTCCCCTGCTAAGACAGACTCATTCTTGATTAGGTGGGGACCCCAACAGCCGTAGTGTCACTACTGCCCTGTCCTGTGCCTTCCTATCTCTTGACTCAAGTTTCATAGCTCAGGTTTTCACTTTTGGGTGTGTAGCACCAAAGAACGAGCTGTGAAACTGTGACACAATCACTCAAATTACAAAAAGACAAGGATATCTTGTCCAATTTGTAAGACATACTAGAGACCAAAAAACATAACTTTGATTCCAGATCCTCAACCTTGATTAAAAACAACCCTTAACCCTGATTTAAAATATCCCTTGCAAAAGATAGCTTGAATCCTCCAAGTTGGAAACTCCCAATCTTTTTAAGTTTAAGCACTCTTTTTGATATAAAAAATATAAAAGACAGAGATTGTACATTGAGTTTTTCATGGTACAAAATAACCAAAGACACCAAAAGCTGCCATGTATGGATTGAAGAAGGCTTTTGGAGTTCGGCTGTAGGAAGTCCAGGGAGGGCTCTTTGAGAAGGGCCATTTCTAATCATCTGCGGCTGCCTCAGAGCAAAGAAGAGCTCGTGAGGGAGCCTTGCTTTCATGGGGTACAGTGGACTGCATTAGCACTGGAAGAGGAAACTAGGCACTGAGAAGAGGGCTTGAAAGCAGATGGCAGGTCACTGGGGAAACAGTGAAAAAATATGACACCTCCATATATAATGAAATAATCTGGGCCTTTAAAAGGCCTAAGGTAGGCCTCTGAGAAATGACACAGAGAATTGTCTATGACATCGCTAAGCGGGAAAAACAAACCAGGGAACAAAACAGCACACATAGCACAATCAATCCTGCCTGTGCCATGACTCTCTATTACACACATACACAAACGACACGTAGCCACCTGTATATGCACAGCGAAGGCTGGCAGATGGCCTCGGACTGTTAGCACCAGTTAGCCCTGGGTGGGTGGGATAAAAGGGCCAGGTGCTCTGGCCCTATGGGATATGCTCGGTATACTTTTTTCTTTTTACAATGAGCACATGTTATGATCTAATATTGCCCCATTTCATATTTTACGATATTAAAGAATTGTTTTCCTATTTCTACATATTATAATGGTAGTATGGCTATATCTCAAAAGAGCCAAATTTTTTAGAGATACTGTTCAGAAAACTGAGCAACCTGAGATTTGCTTCAAAACAATTCAGGGTTGGGGTAGTGGGTGAGGATGAGATAAACAAGACTGCCGTGAGCTGATAACTGGGGAGCAGGGAGATAGGGAACAGGGGAGGGTTGTTGTTTGTCCTCTACTCTTGGGCATGTTTAAAATTTTTCAAATTAAAGAATACTTTGTAAAAGATGTCTCCATTTTTGGAAAAAGTAGGAAACTGCCTTTGAAGAGATAAAGAGTTGTGAACCCCAGGCTCTTGGCAGAGAGGACAGCAGGACTGGTGGTGGGGAGGTAGAGCCAGGTCTGAGGGCCTTGTTGGGCTCTGTCAGGATTGTTCTGGATCCACGTAAAAAACTAAAAGTCCTCCAACACTTTAGGTTAGAAACAGAGGGAGAAGGTCAAATACTGTATGATTTCCTTCATTAAGTAGTAGATAATAACAACAATAAACAAACACATAGAGACAGAGATTGGATTGGTGGTTACCAGAAGGGAAGAGGGGAGGGAGGAGGGCGAAAAGGATAATTCGGCACATGTGTGTGGTGATGGGTTGTAATTTGTCTTTGGGTGGTGAACATGATGTAATCTATACAGAAATAGAAGTATAATGATGTACACCTGAAATTTATACAATGTTATAAACCAATGTTACTGCAATAAACAAAACATTAAAAAAAAAAAGGGCTCCCACACAAATGGAGGGGTCCTGCTGAGCTCACCAAGAAAGAAAACGGTTGCTACAAGGTCCCCTCCACCCCACCTCTATCACCCAAGCACCCATGATGCTTCTTTGACCCAAAGAAGGCCCTGCCTCCATGGAGAGAGGTCCCAGGACTAACAAGGCGGTCATAAAAGCACCCCAAGAACCCAGACTCGGGGCACCACTGATTCCGAAAAGAGAAAACACCTATGTTTAAGGCAATCTAGAAAAACACATTTCACAGAAAAGTTCAGATACTTTGAGTAACTCACCAGGGCATTTCAAAATGCTTACCATGATCCGAGGTAAACGCAATGATCGTGCTGTTGGCCAACTGAAGATCATCCAAAGCACTCAAAAGGCGGCCAACCTGCGTATCCAAATATGAAACAGAGGCAAAGTAGCTCTGGCGGATTTTCCGCTGCAAATTTAAAAAAAAATAAATAATGAGAGTGACTGCGGATTTACAGTACCATGGCATACACAGACACAGTGTTCGCTTGAAGATCCCTCCCGAGCCCCACCCCTCCATTGATGCCCTTGATGATTTTCTCAGCCATGACACAACACTCATTTCCTTACCATGTCCATCCCCTTGCCCACATAGTCACAGAGAAACCTGCAGGTCCAAAAGGAAGATTCTTTTCTAAGCAAATCAGCTTTCAATTCAGGGCACAAATCACAGTAGATGGATGTGCCACTCATCATTCCTTTCTATCTCCTTCACATATTCTTATGGGTCCCAGGCGATGACCATGTACACAGAAACTGATCCCTCACTCCCTCCAAATTCTACTGAGGGTAACATCAAAGATACCACACAGCTGTCTTCATTTCCTGGGGCTGTTGTAATAATGTATGACAAACTAGGGGGCTTGAAACAACAGAAATGTATTGTCTCCCAGTTCTGGAGGCCACAGTCTGAAATCCAGGTGTTGGCAGGGCCATGCTCTCCCTGAAGGCTCTAGGGGAGGGTCTTGTCTCTCCCTAGCTTCTGGTGGTGGCTGCAATCTTTGGCATCCCCTTGGCTTGCAGCTACAGTACTCCAATCTCTGCCTCCGTCTGCACATGGAGTTCTTCCTGTGTCTCTCTCTCTCTTCTTCTAATAAGGGCACCAGTCATATTGGAGTAGGGCACACCCTACTCCAGTATGACTTCATCTTAACTAGTTACATCTGTAATGACCCTATTTCCAAATAAGGTCACATTCTGAGGTACTGGGGGTCAGGACTTCAACATATCTTCCTGAGGGACACAATTCAACCCATAACAACAGCTGTGGGGTGGGCCTTTCCTCTGACCACTTTTTAACCCAGCAGGAGATAGCAACTGCTTATTGTCACAGACTGCGGCTATCAGGTGAGCCTCATTTCTAAGGAACTCCCAGCAGGCAGGAGGAGAGTAATGGAGGGATGAGAGAGCAGCACACCCTCCAGGGTCCCTAAATCCCAGAGGGACTTCAGGAGCAGCCACGCTAAGCACTGATGTAAAAGAGCCACGGCCTCTCCTGAGCTGACTCTCCCCCAGCCTTGTTCACAAATATTAAAGAAAAGATGAATCAATCCCCCACCCCCACCAAGGGTGAGAAGCAAGGGAGCTGCTGACCCATCCGACCAGCCCCAGCTTCCACCGTGGGCCCAGCTTGTCTTATCAGCTAGACCTGCTAGCTTCTTTTCGTCACTGCCAGGGTGAGGACAATCATGAGACTCACATGCTATCCCCATGCGGTGAAGACAACAAATATCCATCTAACCTCCTAGAAGGATTATGCCGAACGCTGGCCTACTTCTACTTTCTGGTAGATAAGGTCTTCTTTTCTGGGGAACTCTGACACTCCTGGGGACAAAGACACCTGTCAGGATGGCTGTGTCCTATCCAAGGGTACACCCTCCTTCCTATGCTGGCCCCTGGAGAGAGGGCAAGAGGTAGACGTGGTCCTCACGCTCAATGAGCCATCCATCCAGTGAGGAAACAGGCATGGTGACAAAAACGGCATGCGTTATTGGTGGGGCCCAGGGACAACATGGGAGAATGAGCCCTCAAGTCAGCCTGGGGAAATCAGGAAAGGCTTCACAGAAGAATTGGCATTTGAGAAGAGGTGCTGGCAGTCAGACAAGTGGGGGTAGGATGCTCTAGATAGGGGCTGCAGTGCCTGGAAGAGTGTGGAGACACCACAGAGCACAGCATGTTTGGAGCCAGTGAGCCGGCGAGTGTGACTGGAGAATCAAATGGGAGGGCCAAGGGGTGGGAGAGGACGCTGAAAAGGCAGGTCAGGGCCAGATCATACAGACCTGGTGGGTCCATCCAAGGAGTGGACGTCCCGGGATGGAGGCCAAGGGAGGCCCTGAGGCTGTTCAAGGCCATGAGTGCATGCAATCTGGGCTGCAGGTGAGTAAGAGTCCTCCGGCAACAGCCCAGAGCAGATTCTAGGGGCTTAAGATGAACCGGCACCAGATCAGTCCTGGGCACAGAGGAGGTGCTCAACAGACACTTATTGAAAGAACAAATCAAACCCAGACCCACTGCAGTGGTCCGGAAAGAGGTGTGGAAGGAGCAAGAGGCCAGCATGGATTTGAGAGTAATTTAGGGAGATGGAGTAGGAGTGGGGGGAGGGGAGGGAGCAGGTGGCGGAAGGAGATGAGGACACCAAGGGTGACTCTTGGTTTCTCCTTCAGCTGATGGCACGATTCAATGACATGGAGGACACAAAAGGAGGAGGAGGAAGGAGAAAAGGAAAGCAGGAGTGGTGGTCTGGCCATGTGGGGCCTAGGGAGCTGAGGTCTCCATGGGCAGCAGCCGGGAAATGGCTCTCACAGCCAAGGACAGGCATGTATGAAAATCAGGAGCGAGGCCGGGGCTGGAGAGGTAGTTCTTGGAATCATCTGCAGGCAGGGCTCAGATGAACCTGGCTGGGGAGAAGGGGCAGAAAGGAGACAGTGGGGGGCTTGGCGCTGACCCTGGGGAGCAGCACTCCTAAGTGGCAGACACAGAAAGAAGGGCCTGCCATGGGGACTGGAGCAGAGGGGGCCCATGAGGGCTGGCAAGGAAGCCTAGGAGGTGGAAATTTCCAGAAGGGGTGGCATTGGTCAACAGTGAGAAAGCAGCAGGGACTCGGAGAAGGTCAGGACCCACAAGGATGGATTTTACTGTCCAATAAGGTCAGTGCTGACCCAGGTGAGAGAACCCTTAGCAGGCCAGGGAGACAGAAGGCCATGCAGAGGTGGATGAAGAATGAATGGACAGGGGCCGGCCCCGTGGCTTAGCGGTTAAGCGCGTGCACTGTGTTACTGGCAGCCTGGGTTCGGATGCTGGGCGCGCACCGACGCACCGCTTGTCTGGCCATGCTGAGGCCGCATCCCGCATACAGCAACTAGAAGGATGTGCAACTATGACATACAACTATCTACTGGGGTTTTGGGCGGAAAAAGGGATAAAAAAAGGAGGAGGATTGGCAATAGATGTTAGCTCAGGGCCGGTCTTCCTCAGCAAAAAAAAAAAAAAAAGAGGATTGGCACAGATGTTAGCTCAGGGCTGATCTTCCTCACACACACAAAAAAAAAGAACGACTAGACAGTGAGGCCACAGACGCAACCAGAACAGACTACATTTCACTCATTTTCCCTTGAAGGGCAGGTGAGGGAGCGGGAAGGGAGGAGAAACAGGCAGGGGCAAGGGAGGCGGTACTTCTAAAGATGGGAGGGCCTGGAGCAGATGTAAAGGCTGGAGGGAAGTCAGTGGGAAGAGAGGAAGACCTTGCTCACAGAAATGGGAAGGAGGGGGAAGGTTGGGGAGGGAGGTCAAGTCCCTGCAGTTCGTCTTGTGAAACTAGGAAGAAGGCCGTGAGCCCAGCACACGGGCACGCACAGTTCTAGTGCCTGTTTACCAAGTACCCAGTGGGTGCCATCCGATTCTCCAAACCACCCTTTAAGGTGACTGTTACCATTCCCATGTTACGCACGAGGACTCCGAGGCTCACGGAGGTTAACTTGCCTAGAGACACACAGCTGGCAAGGGGCACAGCCAGGATCTGTACTCATGTCCATTCTGTGCATTCCCCTCCCTCAGGCTTCCACTAGCCTCTGTTTCTGAAATGGGAAGTGCAGTCATCCACTGAGAGTTGGGGCAGAGGAGCATAAGGGGCTGGAGGGGAGTGGCGAGGGTTCAGAGCAGCTGCAGACTGCAGACGGCAAGAGGGAGCTGAGCAGAGAGCCTACATGAGGCTGCTGGGGCTGGAGGCTGGGCAGGTGCTCCGCCTCCTGGCTGCGTAGATTCCCTCCAGCCCCCACAACCCCCCACCTCAGGACTCAGGCTGGAGAGCAGAGGGAGTGGCTGGACTGTCTGTAATCAAGGTCTTGCAGGTGTGGCAAGGATAAATGCATAAGTGTGCCGAGGGGCTGTCGAGAGCAGTAAGTGACCTGCCCTGGGGCCTCAGCTATTCAGGGAAGGAGTGAAGCCCAGAGGAAACACAGGGGGAGAGTAGGAATCCACACCCTGGTGATCCCAGGAGGTGAGTGGGGAACAAGGGCATGAAGTAAGGAAACTGTAAGAAGAGACTGTGGTCAGGGTGGTGACCAAGGAGGAGTAGGCCTGGGAGGTGACAAACTCTCGAGTGTGGCCCCTGAGGTGGCTGGCTCACGGGGAGCTGAGTTAGAGGGCTGGGGGCAGAAGATGGCACAGAAATGAGAGGCTCAAGAGTGGAGCGGAGATTGGGCACAGACACCCAAAGCTGCAAGAGGATGGTGAGCAGGGCCCAAGTTCAAGGTAAATGTGGGGCAGGGACCAGCACAGGAGCACCCTAGGGAGGTCCTCTGGGTCACACTGTCAACTCTGTATGTCCAACTGGGCAGCTACACTGCCAACAGGCGGGGGTGTGAGGAGGGGACAAGAGAATTTGAAGGAGCCCTCACCACACAGCTGACACTGCCCTAGATGCTTTCACACGTTCACTGTAGTCCCTACTGAAAACCTCCGAAGTCGATGTTATCACAGGAAAACTTTCTCCATCTCGTTTCCATTTTACAGATAAGGAAACTGAGGATCAGAGAAGTAAAATGACTTGACAGAGGTCATGCAGCTGGTATGGGCTAGAACAGGAATTTGAACCCAGACTATTTAGAACCCACAAAACAAACCATGGAGCTTTGGCATTACACATCTCTTGGGGTGAATCCTGGTTCCCTCTGGCACTGACTGTGTGATGTGGGGCAGGTCACCACAACTCTCTGCCTTTAGTTTCCTCACCTGGACAACAGGGAGAGCAGGTGCCTCACTAGGTTCCCATGGGGACCAAAGGAGATGGCACACATACAATGCTGAGCACCCTTCCTGGCACACAGTCCATTTCAAAGGGTCATTTTAAGTGACTGTCACTAACAAGGTGTCCAGGTGCAGCCTTGGAGCTGCAATTCAAGCACCCTCGCTCTGGGAACCCCTGCAATGTGAAATTAGGAACCAAACAAACTGATGAATCCACTGCCTTCCAAACACTCACCACTGCCATCTGAAACTCAGGAATCAGGATGGAGGTTTTCAGCGGGGACTAGAGCGAACGTGTGAAACACACATCCCTCACCACCCAGGCTCTTGCTATCCAAACTCAGAGGCCAAAGAGGTTTGGACAGCAAGAGATACCTGTATATTTTGTTTTGTTTTGAACTATCCCCTATAGCAGTGGTTCTCAGACTTCTGCGTGCATCACAATCACCAGCTGTGTTTTCTGGAGAGGCAGGTTCCTGGGCCCCACCTCCAGCTTCCAGTTCCTTAAGTCAGTTTCCTCATGGTGGTTCTGATGCAAGTGGTCCAGGGAGCATACTTTAAAAACACTGCCCTCTCCTTCCACTGTAGACTGCGTGGTGGAGTACTGATGTGGCAAGAGAAAGGCAGAGCCACGTGTGGAATATTCAGAAAAGAACACTGGTCAGCACGTCTTCTGCACTCCAGGGAGAGGGTGGCTGATGAGTCAGCATGAGGATTCTAACTCCATGGCTGTTCCACCCCCCACATCATGGCAAAGGGACACCATATGTTGCAGCTGGATGGCACTAGCCATGTTGGTGCCCCAGCTCCCTCTGCGCCAAGGCCCTGCTTGCCAAACCACCCCGAGAGTGATGGGTGCCCATGCAGGCTTTCCCACAGAGAGGACCCACAAGTATCAGCAAACTGAGCATTCTGAGCTACACGGGAGTTGCCCACCACCCTGTAACTGATAAACTGTCACCTAGATTAAAAAGCATCCCGCATGAGTTAGTCATGGTCACCCAGGCCTCTTCCCCACCTCCATGCCCACATCCAACTAGTCACCAAATGTCCAGATGCCCCCTTCTTTGGAAGTGGAGACACTGATTAGGAGATTCTTTATCCACCCAGCACCGCCTGTGTCCTCAATTCCTCCAGACCACCCCCAACCCCAGCACTTCGCAGGACACCTTCCACAGAGAAGGTTCTTAGTAAGACAGGATGGATAGAGTACTGTCTACTAAGAAAAGTGGCATCACCAATGACATCATGCCATGATACTTCCCCCAAATTGGTCCTTGGTACCTGAAATTCCACAGGAATTGGGCCATAAGGCACACTGAGGTTTAACACTTGGACGTCCTCCCGCTGCCTGATGTCCATCCAAGGGTTATAGGCCACAGGAGGGAGGCCAGCAGGGACCTGAGGATTAGGAGCCAGGGTGATGTTCTCCAAAGGATACAACTTCTGAAATTCCTTGCAGGAAAAGCACATAAAGCCACCAGGCTGTCACTCTTTGGGCAAAGGCACAAGGCTGGGACTCTATCTGTATTTATATTGCCTTTTCTCTAAGTCTGGGATGCATTTATGTTTGCTCACTAACACTCCCTAAGTCAGGCCTTCGGTCACTCTCACAAGATGCCACTGGTAATGAAATCACGGAACTTCTGTTTCCTACAACTAAGCAGTGACGGCTCTCTTCTCTCATACAAATCAATGCCCTCCTGTTCCGGTCACCACCTTCTCTCCAACTAGAAAAGGAGTGGAGAGATGTAGCAGGTTCCCAAAACCATGCTCAGATTTGGTAATTCCCTGGGAGAATTCCCTGAGTCACAGGACTCAGCACAGTCATACTCGTGGCTATGACCGATGACAGTGAAAGGATACCACACGCAGTTGGCAAAGGGAAAAAGCACATGGGGCAAAGTCTGGGGGAAACCAGGCATAAACTTCCAGAGTCCTCTCCAGGTGAAGTCACACAGGATGCTTAATTCCCCCAGCAACGAGTTGTGTGGCATGTGTGAAATGCTGCCACCAGGGAAGTTTGTTAAAGCCTCAGGACCTAAGGGTTTTACTGGGGCCAGTCACATAGGCATCCTCCGCCCGCACACACCGAAATTCCAGACTCCAAGCCTGAAAGCAGGGTTTTGCATAAACAATTTAGGCACAGTGAGCCACTCTTATCAGTTCTGGGAATGGTGGGAAAACTCCTGAGATCCAAGTGCCCAGAGGCCAGCCAAGGGCCAACCCTATAAGCAGGCCTGTCTAAGGATTGCAGTCAGGCCTGCTAGGTGAACTCTTTCCTGCACAAAAGGCAGGAGAAATGAGTCTCACTCCATCAAGGGGGCTGACAGCTCCTGCTAGGAAGGCGAGATCCCCTGGGCCAATCAAAGCAAGACACCTGCAGCATCAAAGAGCATGCCTTCTGGTCTCTCTACTCTAATCACAAGTGAGGGGCATTCTTTGCAAAGTCAAAAGGATGGGCTGCTCAGACCTGGGGAAAACATTTTAGTGAAAACTGAAAAAGTTTTTTAAAAAATAAGAGACTACATGCTCTAAACAATATACATGCAAGCACAGGATTCAAGGCTCCAAGAAGCAATGCAGTGCCTTGTGTCTAAGGGGTCTGACCTGACAGGCTCTGAGGAAAAGAAAGTTGTTGACAAGGGTTTCACATTCCCTGGAATTGAGTCCTAAGGGCCATCCCTTATTGCAGGCTTTGGGGGCCAGCTCTGACTCACTTCTCTATGATGATCTCACCATCCAACCCAACGTTTGCTCACTGAGTGCAAGGAAAGGCAATAAAACGCTCCAGTGGAGGGAAGTAGGAAGCCAAGTGTTTCCAACAAGATTCTTACATGTCCTAAGCCTATTCTTAGCCTTGATCTCTAAATCCCATCTTCATATCACTGAGTACACTAGTGCCCTCAGGCAACCCTGGTGACCAGGGACCGCAGGATGTGGCCACCTTCACTACACAAATCCCTCCTTCAACAAATGACACAGCTGTCACGGCTGTGGTGGGTCAGCCCTCAGCCAGCTCTTCACCTTGGGGTATCTGAAGGGGATATGTGGCTTATGATACCCAACAGCCAGGAAGAAAGGACTGGTCGATGTTTTTATCTTTTCCAACAATCGTATGGCTTGCTCAGTGCTCTGTTTGTCAGGCAAGGTGCCCTCAGGCACATCTGCCACATCCACAGGGCAAAGCAGGTTGGCATGGAGTTCTCCGTCTGGCCCCCTACATGTCTTTCAAAACAAAACATATAAAGTCAGCTTTTTAAATGCAAGAAATAGAAGTCATGAAGGTTACACGCACAATGGATTTAACATTCGCACCACTAGCCCGTTAAGTATTAGTCATTCAGATTGAACGGGCACACAGGAAGAAGAACTAAAACAGAGAAGTGTTTCTTCTTTTCCAGACAGGGACCAGAAATCCACTAGCACTTAGCTTCTTGCTGTTAATCCTCTGTCTCCAGGTCATAACTAATTAAAGGAAACCCAAGTAAACTAACGATCAAAAAAAAAATATGTCACCAACTTGACAATAAAAAATAAATAAGGCATAAATAAGCCAACTGAAAAATGAGCAAAGGACTTGAATAGATATTTCTCCAGAGAAGATACACAAATGGCCAATAAGCACATGTAAAGATGCTTAACAGCTTTAGTCATCAAGGAAATGCAAATCAAAACCACACTTCACACCCACTAGGATGGCTATAATTTTAAAAAATGGGAAAAAAGTGTTGGCGAGGATGTGGAGAAACTGGAACCCTCATACATTGCTGGTGGGAATGTAAAATGGTGCAGTTGCTTTGGAAAACACTCTGGCAGTTCCTCAAACAGTTAAACTGAGTTACTATACGACCCAGAAATTCCACTCTTAGGTACATACCAACAAAAATAAAAACCTAACTGTAAACAAACACTTGACGTAGCAATTCTACCCAAGAGAACTGAAAAATTAAGTCTATAGAAAAACTTGTAAAAAATTATTTATAGTAGCATTATTCATAGTAGTCAAAAAGTGGAAACAACCGAAATAGCCATCAAGTGGATAAATAATGTGTTATGCCCATACACTGGAATACTATTTGGCTATAAAAAGGAATGAAGTTGTGATCCATGCTACAACACGGATAAAGCTCAAAAACATTATGCTAAATGAAAGAAGCCAGACACAAAAGGTCACATATTATATGCTTCCATTTATTAAGAAATGTCCAGAATAAACAAATCCATAAAGAAAGAAAGTAGATCAGTTGTTGCCACAGACTAGGGGTTGAGAAGTAATGGGGAGTGAATGGTAATGGGTACAAGGTTACCTTTTGGGGTAATGAAAATAGTCTTAAATTGATTTTGGTGATGGTTGTACAACTATGTGAATGTACTAAAAATCACTGAATTGTACATTTTAAACGGGTGATTTTCATGGTATTTGAACCATAGCTCGATCAAAAATTTATTTTAACAAAAGAAAAAAAATCTGTCTTCAATTTGAAAGACAGACTAAGGTTTGTATGGTTTGTAAGACAGGGTCCCAGACAACTGGATAAGTGACAGTCCGTGGAATTTCCAGATCCATGCACAGAATGGAAGCTACTGCTTCACTGCCCAAAGTGGCCATGTTGGCCACAAGGCCAAAATCAGTTTTGACCATGATTTCTACCTCACAAAGACCCAGGGGCAGCAGTGGCTCCTGCTCCATCTCAAAGAGGAGTGTTCTTTCACAGGCCTGCCTTGTCCACCCGGTCCTTGGGTAGGCCAGCCCTGTACCTGCCTCACAGCACCTGCTCACCCTCTACATTCACACAATCTGCAGCATTCATGGGGATTAGGTCTGGTCAGATCTGCCGCTTTGAGAACAAATGTGGGGGATGGGGACGGGGGCCTGGCATTTGTAAGTGAGGCCACTAAAAAGTAGCAAGATAGCTTTAGGGAATGAAGGGAGTGAGAAGGGGTCTTCCAATCTCATTCTGCTCCTACTCAAGCCACAAGCCAAAGGTAAGAGACCTCAACTTTCACTGTATTCTGAAATGGAAAGTTGTCAAGAATTTAGGATACTGCCCTCCACTCCACCAATCCCCCCAAATCCACGCCCTTCTCCACATGATGTCTCTAAAAACCTCCAAGAAGCATCATTTTCCAGTTCTCCAGCTGGTTTTTTGAATTTCTTAAAAGTGAGTCTTGGTTTCCTTTATGCATTGGGGGTTCCTCTGGACCAAAATTTAGTATTTGTGTAGATTCCTTTTTTTTCCATAATGCTCTAAAACTTTAAAACCCCTACGAAAGGTGTCAGTACCTGAACATATTCATTAGGCCTGAGAAAGACAGACAGACAGTATGCCTTTCTCTCAATCTGGGCTGAGGCTCCTGGAGCACAGGTCTCTCTTCTCTCTTTCATGTCTCAGCATCTCCTATAACCCTCAGCACACAGCCTTATCAGAGTGAGCACCAAGGAGCCACTAAATGAGTCTTACAGATTAGAGCATAAGGTTCTAGAACAAGGCATACCCTCCAGCTTCTAAAATGAATCCACCTCTCCCTGTAGACCTAATGCTAAAGATCCCAACACTTGTCTCTGTCAAGTCATGATCACAAACACAACCTGCTAATCTCACTGCGTAACCAGCTTGAAAGAACGTGCAGTATACACAACAGTTAACCTAAATTTGCTAGAAGGGGAAAAAGCAGCTCCTCTTCAGAACAGTACCCCCTTCACATCCTTACCTTGGTGTTTTCATACTTTTCAGAGGAGGGATGATAAGGTGGAATAGACCAGCTATATGGAGAATCATCACTATGATTGGAAGATACTCCTTGGGGGGAAAAAAGAAAGTCGTTAAATAAAACATGAAGGGTCCTTCACTGCTCTCCCCACGCAAAATCCAACCTTTGTAAACAGTTGAGGAAGTATCATCTCCCCTCTTTGGGCCTCAGTTTCCTCATCTATAAAATCAAGAGCTGAGGCCAGATGATAAGTCCCCACTAAAGCCAACTCTCTAGGTGTCTATTTGAGTACTGAGCATCTGACCTCCTGGTCCCCAAAGCCCTGGCAATTCATGCGAGGCTCTGAGGAAGGATCCACAAAGGGTGAGATCAGTCAGCCTATTACAGCAATGCAGCCCTGCAGAGCCCTTCCTGGAGCCTCTCACCTGCCCTAGGCAGGAGGCGGCAGAGGCATTGGCCCCACCATGGGCCGGGTGGGGAAGGGGAGGTTCCGAGAAGGTCGGTGCCTTGCCTGATGCCAACCAGATATAAGATGAGTGAGCTGGGACTCAAACCCATGCGTTAGGACTCCAGTTTCAGTGCTCATACATGAAGAAGAAACAGACCCCTAAGCTCAGTAGTTGACAGTCTATTTGAGCAGACAAAATAACACGTGAAACCAAGGAAGGACTGACAGCTGTCTAGAGAGTAGAAGAGGTGCTATGTAAGTAGGGGAGCCCCCAGGCACAGAGGTGATGTGGGTCCAGTGACGGTTGGCAGCAAGGGCTTCTAGGAGTCAGTGAGGCCTGTGAGCCCTCTGAAGGGAAGTGCTGCCTATGAGGATTGGCCAGAAGGGGCAGAGAGGGTAGTGCAGGCAGAACCATGGGATAAAGAGCATCACAATCACAGCAACACATCGAGACTCCGACGGGAAGCACCAGATGAGGCACGGCTGGAGGCAAAGGAGCAGTGGGTGTAGGGCTTATCACACAGCAAGCACAGTGGGAAGAGCAGAGGAGGCCAACAGACCTGGGTTCAAATCCCGACACTGCCCCTTAGTACCCAAGCAACCTGGGGTGAGCTACTTGACCTCCGTGAGCTTCAATTTCCTCCTCAGGAAATGATGACGATGAGAAAAACTCACCTTGCTTGCTGTTGAGGAGAGGATTAAAGGAGCGGCCAGCACAGTAACTGGCGTGTACCTGGCACTCCATAATGGCTGCTGTCACCTTGAACAGGTCCTTCCCTCAACAAGGTCTTGAGAACAAGACTAGGTTGAAAAGTGTGTTTCCACAAGGACTGCAGGCAAAGCTTTTGTTCTCTGGCTAAGACACGGCACGAAGACCCTGACCCCACAATCTAATTATCAGAAAGAAGGAGGCCAAACAACACATTCAGACCTTGTTTGGCCTCCCTTTCTGAAGCACTATCTCCCCTCTGCTGTATTTCCTCCTCTCCACAAAATCGTCTCTGCCTTCCCTCCAGCTATACTCAGACAAGGGGTATCATAACGAGTCCCAACTGCAGAAAGTTCTACTCATGGTGGGCTTTTGGCGGCAAAACATGGTGCTTGACAGATTCAGCTTCAAAACTGGGCCCAACTTAGCCCAGCTGAACGTTACCCTCAACCTGGACTGGCCAGCTGGGTTCCAAAAGAAGGCTGTGGAGCCCGTCGGTGTAACCAGCAAACAAAGGGAAAGCTAGTGAAAACGCTCACATTGTAGCCCCTAATGAAAAGCACTACCGGCCAGGTGGGCAGGCAGAGCTCGGGTTTCAACATCCTTTCAGACTCCTAAACTACCTGGATGGGAGCGCTCCACTGGGAGGTCATCAAGGCAGCTACAACTCTAGCTTCCCAGAGACGGAATCTGAGGCTCAAAGAGGATGACTGACTTGCTCAAGGTCAGCTTCACAGCTAAGAAGTGGCAGAGCTGGGACTGGAACACAGGTCCCAAATTCCTAGTGCCATTGTTCATCAGAAAATCACTCTGTCTCCAGAGATGTTCATCCTGGTGGCACGTGTGATAGCAAAGACCTGAAAACAACTTGGACTCAAGTACAGTACATCTGGATGTTAGACTACTGTGCTGTCATTAAAACTGACTTTGCATGAAGAGTGACTATATGGGAAAATGTTTATGTTTCAAACATTCAAATTATAAAATTGTATACACAGGAAAATCTCAAATCAGAAAGTAATATGCCCAGAACAAGGGGACACCAAAATACAGCTCTTACTTATTTCACTTAGCATAATACCCTCAATGTCCACCCATGTTGTCACAAATGGCTGGATTTCATGGTTTCTTATGGCTAAGTCAGAGGGAGGAGGTCAAATACTATATGACCTCACTCATAAGTAGAAGATAAAAACAACAACAAACAAACACATAGAGACAGAGACTGGATTGGTGGTTATCAGAGGGGAAGGGGGGCAGGGGGTGGGCAAAAGGGATGATTAGGCACGTCTGTGGTGATGGATTGTAATTAGTATTTGGGTAGTGAACATGTAATGTAATCTATGCAGAACTAGAAGAATAATGACGTACACCTGAAATTCATACACTGTTATAAACCAATGTTACCACAATAAAAAAAATAAAAAAATACAGCTCTTCTTAGCATAGTGCAATTATAAGTAATTGATATTCTTTAGTTTATATTTTCCTTTTTTTCCAACTTTTTGTCAAATAATCACGCATTACTTCAATAAGTAAAAACGTTTAAAAGTTTCTCTGTGCTTCAGCATTCTCATTTTGGTATTAAAGAGAGCCAATTGATCAGGCGGTGTTCAAAGTCAGGACTGGTGGCCTCTGGTACCCTTTAGGCCCTGAGTACGAGCTTACACTCTTCTTTCTGACTTAATTCACTGATGATGGGCAGCAGCCGCTGACAAATCACAGCCTCTTCACTGGGCAAGTCAGCATAGCTGCCCTGGTCTTGCTTTACTGACAGGGACCCTAGGGTACAGAGGGTCATTTGCAGAGCTGGACTCACACCCAACACTGCCACCTCCCCAGCCAGTGCCCTTCCTTCCACCCTAGGCATCGAAGGAACCAAACAGCACCATGACTAGTTTGTGAAAGGAAGAAAAAGTCCTGCTACCGTTTTTCACTCTTGGTGAGAACATGAAGCCACGTTGAGAAGTAATAATTTGTATAAAGGCATCAGTGACAAAAGAGGTGTCCACCCAGCCTGAAAAGGCCTCGGCAAAAACTGCCCCAACCCCAAGAGGGAATCCCCGTACTCGGGCACAAAACAAGAGAGGACCCAGACGTTGGACAGCAAGCAGTACCAGGGTGAAAGACTTTTCCAACCGACATGGTCACGTAGCCATTCTCCTTGAAGTACTGGGGGATGGTGGAGAAGTTTCCAGCATGCACCCTCCAGTAGGAGTTGAAGTCATACAGGCGAGTGGTGTCTGGTCTCCTCCCGGTGAGGAAGGACACCCGGCTTGGGGCGCACACTGCTTGCTGTTAGGGAGCAGAAGCAGAAGGAAACATCCTCAGAGGAAAACAGAGTCTGGGAGCTAAAAGGTAACCAGGCAACCTCCTGACTCCCTGGCAAACAGCTTGGCAGCTGAGTCATGCAGGTCTCAAAGCCAACCAGCAGGATCTGGGCCTCCCCCAGATGCCAGAAATAAGTCTTCCCAGAGAGAGAGAGGGCAGGACCCAGCCCCTGAAACCAGCAGATGATTGTGTCCTTCTATGTGCTGGTGTCTCATAGGTCCACAGAGCAGGCAAGGGTCTCGGGGGCGGCCCCATGAGGGTGCTCAGGAAGGAGTGCTGCCATGGCAAGCTGGCTGGCTGGCACTTGCCCAAGGTCAGTCAGCAGACTTTAGGATGGCACTCTGCAGCACTCCTTCCTTCTCAGCACCAGGCAATCCCCTCTTTGGGGAAGAAAGGTGGGCAGGACCATCCTGAGCATGTTAGGACCAGGGCATACCCTTCACTCAAGGAGGAGGGGCCCCCTTGAAGGCACAAGCTTTCCTGCCAATGAACAACCAGGTTTACTCAATCGCCATTTTCCAGACTATGTCTCCTTCTAATAAAGAGATGCCTGGCATAATCAGTGCCATTTAACAAGAGCTGAAGGTCTCCCCCAACCCTCAGTGCACAAAGCACACATCCACACCCAGGGATCCCCAGACATACCTGAGCAAAGGCATTCTGGAATAGGAGGCTGTGGGATGCCAGTTGGTCAATGTTTGGGGACCTGATGAGTTTGTCCCCATAACAGCCCAGGGAGGGACGCAGGTCATCCACGAGGATTAGAAGGACATTCAGAGGATCTGCACAGGAGGGAGGGGCTTCAGCCAGATCACCTGCACTGACATTGAACCCCCACTCATGGTAGGTGCTAGGGTAGTGAGAGGTGCAAGGCTGGCCCCTGCACCTTGACAGCCCAGCCAGCCAAGCAAGGGAGGGGGTGACCAGGGCTGGGGCTCAGGGAGGGTGGCAGTGGGAGTACAGAGGAAGTCACAGTCCTTTGAGAGAGAGAGAGAGAGAGAGAGAGAGAGAGAGAGAGAGAAGGAAGGAGGGAAGGACAGAGGAAAGAAGAATTTACGGACGGAGGGGAAGGATGGACAGAGGGAAGAAATGATGGTGGGCGGGAAGGAAGGAAAGGAGTGAAGAATGGAGGGAGGGAAGGAACAGAAGGATGGATGGAAGAAGGAATAGTAGCAGGGAGGGAGCAACTGAGTTAAGGATGGAAGTAGGCAGGGAAGAAGGGAAGGAGCCCCGCAATCTGGGCGAGAGCGCAGGAGGCACCTTTGGCAGAGCTGCCTGGCGCCGCTGCAGACTCGAAGGAGGTGCGGACGGAACCGAGGAATAGGCCAAGCCAGAGCAGGCCCCGGCCGGGCTGCAGCATTTCCGCCCCGGCGCGGACGTTATGGGGCAACAGTGACAGGCTGCGGCAGGAAGGCAGAGCCGACCCACCGCCACCGCCGCCGCCGCCGCCGCCGCCGCCGCGGGCCCCACCTCGGAAACCAGCGCCGACTGTGCGAACCGCCCTCGACCAGCCCCACAGACACGGGCGCTGGCCAGAGCATGAGTGCGCCTGCGCGCTTCGTCCCCCGCCCCGCCCCTCTGGGGCTGGGCCTTGGCCTGGTGATGAACGAGGCCCTTGCGCATGATCTGGGCCGCAGCAGAGCTGATGCCGCGCAGCTGCTCCTTCCGCCTCGCGGACTTGCCCGCCCACGGGCGCCTCTGTCGTTGGAGAGTTGCTGCGGGACTGTTTCTAGGTGTTTCCAAAGATTTGCAATGCAGCCACTGTGCTTAACTATTAGTTTCTTGCCTCTTTGCCTTTGCTCATGCTATGCCTTTCCCCGCCTCTCCCCCGAAGCTCTTCTCTTTCCTCAGCTCTCTATAAAAGTCACACTTTTCCTTGCAGACCAGCCCAAATGCCACTCTCTTTTAATGAGGCCCATTGGGAACCCTCCTTCCATCTTTACGACCTCCTTTCCTATGAATTTGTTCAACAAATACTTATTAAGTTCTGCAGATATGTATACCAAGCACTGTTGGGGGCTTGGGAGTTCTAAGTCCCTGTCCTCGTGGAGCTTGCACGAAATAAACATGGAATGGCAATGGGTATGCGCGGGCTGGAGAAAAATAAGGCAGGGAGTGGGGGGATTTGCTTGTAATTCCCTATGGGGTGGCCAGGCAAAGCCTCACTAGTAAAGTGACATTTGAACAAAAACTTGAAGGAGGCGAGGGAGCAAGCCACGTGGATGTCTTCATGAAAGGTGCTCCAGGCAGAGGGAGCAGAGGGAGCAGCCATTGTGGAGAGCATGCCGTGCCTGACAGTGTTAGAGGGCAGCACAGAGGCAGGTGTGGCTGGCAGGGAAACAGGAGACAGGAGGAGTGCGAGTCATCACTCTGCTAGCAAGAATCACTCATTGTCTGCCTGGGGCTGAAGGTTAGGAAGGACATTACAGTCGACTCCCCACCCCCGCACCCTCCAATGAAATAACTGAACACAATGCCAGGCAGATTGGAGATCTTTTTTGCATGCAGGAAGGCATAAATATTAGTATTGTTATTGGGACCTTCCTATACCCCAGGCAACATGCTAATTTTCTCCTGACAGCAACACTGTGAGCTAGATGCTACTATCATTCCCATTTTACAGATCCAGAAATTAAAACTCAGAGAGGCTGAATCACTTGACGAAGGACACCCATCCAGGAAGTGGAGGAGGAGGGTGGCTCTCCATGAGAGATGTGCCTCCTCAGGAAGTGGCCAGAGCATGGTCATCACATGCCCCCTATTGCCATTGCTGCTGCACCTGCTTTGCTATTTCCTCAGGCCCAAGCACAGGCGGCTGTTCACACTGGGGCCTGGTGGGCGTCCCCCTGGGAAAGGTCAGCCTCCGCCTGCACTCCCCAGGCCAGAATGCACTGAGTCCCTCAGGGTGGGCCAGCCCCAGCCAAGGGCTCAAGCTGCCATGCTTCAGGTGGCACCTCAGCTGTCCCTCCTCATCCTGACATTTGCCTTTTATTGGTGGCTGCTCAGGGTCTTGCCCTTTCCCTCCTAAAATTATGGCCTTAACGTTTCAGGAAACTCTGAACCCCATGTCAACAAGGACTCCAGTGGATGTTTAGAAGATTGCTCTTACCCTTGTTTCCTCTCTTCTTGACACCTGTAATACATTCTCATAGCAATAGGTGCCTCATATGAGGTTGTGAACTAAGAATCTAATTATATAGATCATGTGTCGTGTCACTTAACGACGTAGATACATTCTGAGAAATTCATCATTAGGCGATTTCGTTGTTGTGCAAACATCATAGAGTGTACTAACACAAACTTAGATGGTATAGCCCACTACACACCTAGGCTATATGGTACTATTCTTGTGGGACCAACCGTCATAGATGCAGTCCATCATTGACCAAAACGTCATTATGCAGTGCATGACTGTACTTGTCCTTATCAAAAAGCCATTAAGAAAAAATAATTCAGTAAACCCCAGGGTTGACCAAAGAAGGGAGTAAGACAAAAGTCGCACACAGTTCCTGCCTCTAAAAATCTCTGCAGTTCTTTTGTGGACTGCTTTCAAATTGGTGGGATACATGAGGAATAAGGAGGCAAACTGGTCCTTGCCTGCCTCCTCCCTCTGAAGAGTGCACAATCTGTGGGGAGGAGGGACAGCAGCATAACACAGCCCCATCACACAGGTGGACTCTCTATTTGTCAAAAAGAAGAGTTTCTCCAGAGAAAGTAATTGGATATGAAGACAAATTCATCCAATCCAACACTGATTCAAGCCCCTCTGCCATGTTGCTGAGGTGTGGGAGGACACCAAGAAGAGGCAGCTGCAGAGCTGGTTCTGGAGAACAGCCAGGCTTCTAATGACAGATATGAGAGACCAAGTATGTGGCCTATGATGCATTTGAGCATTCAGTCTCATCTATATCTTTCCAGGAGAGTTTAGATTTGAATAAGTGAACAGCTAGCATTAAGTGACAGCTGTGGCAGACACACCCTAAGATGATCTCCAATGAGTCACACCCTGTATGATCCCCTCCCTTTGAGTGTAGGTGGAACCTGTGCTTCTAATCAATAGAATATGGTGAAGATAGGACCGGATGTCACATCTGTGACTACATTATCACGTATGTATGAGTCCATCTTGCTAGCACACACTAGAGAGATTCTCCTGTTGGTCTTGAAAAAGCCATATTGTAACTTCCCCTAGAGAGAGTCACATGACAGGGAACTGTGTGTGGTCTTTAGGACTTGAGAGCAGCCTCCAGCCAATAGCCAGTAAGAAGTCAAGAACTCAGTCCTAGAACCGCAGGGAAATGAATTCAGCCAACAAACACATGAGCTTAAAAGAGGACTCCAGATTCCAGAAGGGAATGCAGTCTGGCCAACACCTCAATTACAGCCTTGTGAGACCCTGAGCAGAGGATCCAGCTAAGCTGTGCCTGGACTCCTGACCTGTGGAAACTGGACTAATAAATGTGTGTTGTTTTAAGCCACTAAATTTATGGTAACTTGTTATGCAGCAATAGAAAATGAATACAATAACATTACCCATTCACAATATTAATAGACACTTGACCCTAAGGTCAGATCCCTTCCTAGGGTGACTCTAACAAAACTGAAGCAGATGTGGAAGTGGCTTCTTATCGTTATGAAAACATGGACTCCTAAAAGAGTCCATGAGAGCGGATTTGAATTGTTCCACAGAAACCACACCCATTAAAACCAATCCACCAGCTGTGCTGAGGTATGTGATGATGACACAATTCTGGAGAGAAAAGATGGCCTCTCTGTCTTCAATCTAGCTTTGGCCACAATCAAAGAAAAGATTTAGGGAAAAGGGGATGTCTTCAGTGTTCCAGCAAAGCCCAAGAGGCCACAGTCACAGCTGAGATTAAACTTGCTGGGCAACTGGAGAGGCTTAAAAGATGAAATGCAAAAGTGGAAGGAGATAATGATGCAGGAAAAGTGAAAGCAAAAACTGAAGACTGACTTTGTTGGACACATAGTCCAATTTAAGGAACACAAAGCAGCCCTGCTTGCTGGAGACAACCTACACTTGAACAATTCCCACTAATGAAATTTCAAAGCTGACAGTTTTCCAAAATACTTAAACACCCCAACAGACTGGAATGTGAAACACCCTCTTAAATATCAGCTGCAATTCACACAGTAGCTTTAATTCATTGAGCAGTTTTTAGGGAGGTAGCCTAGTTTCAGTAAAAACTAAAATATTTAGCCGAGAGCATCATAAAATCAGGCCTCCAGTTTCCCTACCTAATGTCTCAAGATTGGCACTACTTTGTAGCTCAGTGCATGCATGAGATTTAATAGAGCATCCAAAGCAAATAGTCCCAATCTTTCTATATAAAGTATATACACGAAAATATTAAATAAATATCTGGAATAGTAAAGAAATAATGATTGGTTCTCTTCCAGTGTAAGTTAATGAAGCAGACATACATTTATTGTCGCTTGTGGGTTGAGTCCATCAGAAAACTGACTTTTTTTTTTCTCTGAGGAAGATTTGCCCTGAGCTAACATCTGTTGCCAATCTTCCTTTTTTGTATGTGAGCCGCTGCCACATCATGGCCACTGACAGACAAGTGGTATAGGTCCATGCCTGGGAACTGAATCTGGGCTGCCAAAGCAGAGTGTGCTGAACTTAACCACTTGGCCACTGGAGCTGGCCCAGAAAACAGACTCTTAAACAGAGTTAAGTGTTCAGGATGTTTATCGGGAGTACTTTTGAGAGAAATACCTGTGGAAAGGCTTGGAAGGGAGCAAGAGTGGAGAGAAGGAGCACTCAATCTGTGATACAGGCCTTTGCTGACTCAACGGGGCAGTCTAGACCTAGAATAGTCCTTCACAGCTGTCTCAAGTGAGGCTGAGATGGCCAGATATTTATACATCACGTTAATAAGTCATTGAATGTGGGTTACTCTGGGAGGGGTCTGATCTTGTGCAAGGTGCCTCTATGCAGCTGAGGAAAGCCCTGAGCGGACGAACAGCAGAGGGTTGTCTGCCCACAGACCTCCCAGCAACTGTGGCAAGAAGGCCTTCGTTGAAAGGGGGTTTAGGTAGCACATCTATATGTTCACCACATCTCTTCCTCCCTTTAAAATAATTATGAAGGAACAAAAACAATATAACTCTACAGCAAGAAAGAATGGGAGAAGATGCTCAAATTCATTAGGTATTAGGGAAATGCAAATCAAAACCACAGTGAGGTACCGCTTCACAACCACAAGGATGACTATTATCAAAAAAATTGAAAATATCAAGTGTTGGTGAGGATGCAGAGAAATTGGAACACTCGTACATTTCTGGTAGGAATGCACAATGATTCAGCTGCTGTGGAAAACAGTTTTGCAGTTCCTCCA